TATAACCCAGATCATGACATATGTACTCTGGGTCCTGACGATCTTGGTCACTCAGGGTACACCGAGGCAGGATCCATCTTGATCCAACTTCCACAGGTCTTCAGCATGAACTTCCGCACGTAGATCGCTCCTAATATGGCGTCACTGTTCGAGATCCGCGGTCTCACGGCTAGGTAGTAGTAAATCTTTCCGGATCAGGACACATCCACACCAGATCCTGACGATCTTTGCCACCTAGAGCATGTTGAGGCAGGATTTGTCTTGATCCAACTTTCACAGGTTTTCTTCACTATCTTCCCCATGCAGATCGCCGCAATCTGGCCCCCACCACTCGATATCCGAAGAGTCCGCCCGCGTATACCCGAGGCTCCGAGACCTGTGATATTCGACTTTAAATCTATAAGATCCAGTTCCACAACCTCGGACTGGTCGCCCAAGCCCGGGTTCTTCAAAGTTCATCCTCTGATATCATCGACTTCGGCTTAGCAGTACAAGGTCTCGGGTTCGCCTGATCTCCCTCGTCCTGCCGCGATCCACGTAATCCAGACACCGCAGTGAGTCGGCGGCGTCATATCGAACTTCATCGCAACGCCCTTACAACTCAATCCATCAATCCAGGTTGAACATATCACTAATCCAGAATAGTGGCCATCCATCATGTTCCATCTTCTCATTTCTCGAAAAGCACTTTGCCACACAGTTCCGACAATAATCTCTGCTACATACAGATCTACGGTGAAGGCTGTGCCTGCAAAACACAGCGTACGTCTCTTTTCATTGTTGGCACTTCTAGCAAGAAACCTCACGTAGCTAGATGTTATTTAAACGGATAGTACACTTAGAGCAACTGTATTGCCTCCCTTGTCGCGAGAAGATATATTATTGTGTTTTTTATATTAGCGTTGGGGTGTGTGGTGAAAGTAGTAGCAGGAAAGGTAGTGCGGTAATCTATGAAATAACAGGGGAATCGCTATGATATGAATTGTACCTCCTTAGCACCGCGATGTGACGCAGATTTCAGAACAAAAAGGCTCAATAATATTTGAAACGAAGTCCAAATGTTATTTGGGCTTTGTTGCACTCTGATGCGCCAAGGCGAAGCTTCCTCGTGAACGCCGCTACTTTTTTTTTAAGAAAGACATGTCCCATTACACCAACATGACAAACCGCTATGCAGTTAGGTGGCAACGGGACCACTGTTGCATTTGCCTCCTCGGCAACAACTCGCTGTACTTATTCTGGTATATCATTTTAGCAGGTTTTGTTGGCGCAATTAAATTTGTTTTGCTGCAATAAAATCGCAGGTGGCGACCTAATCAGTACAGTAAAAAGTGTAATTACTCTGGACTTCTAATTAATCTGGATTCCCAATAAGTCTGGTCCAGGTTTCTTTTTAACCCAAAATTGGTTTTATCTTGTTAATTGTATCAGTTCCCAAATAGTTTGGTCCAGACTAACTGTGTTCGTGCGTCTCGAAATCCCGATTTCCAATTAATTTGGTCCAGACTAATTACACTTTTTACTGTACCGAAAAAATCACCCTTTTAAAGACTGATTCCAACTGTTCTTTGCAACAGACCGATTAAAGGAGCCCTTGTGCCGCCAAAAGGTTAACGCATCAAAACATAGATATTTCGAATCGGACCCAACCTCGAATTAGGACCCCTTTGAAAAAATAGTCCCATACACATATTGAAAACGTGCTAAGTAATCTATAATACCCACACTATCTACGAACCATTTGAGATGCCGCCCACAATAAGACCAGGTCGAAGTAAGAAAAAAAATTGAAAAAGCTGCTGATTGGTCAGATCGGGCATCATTATCGCTTTAATTTAATGACCTCCGTGGGTCACTAAATTGAAGAGATAAATAGCAGGCTCTAATTGGACTCATTCGCGCACTGTACAAAAACCAATCCAACTGCAGTGTCTCGTATGCAACACGGTAGCATCGCTTTACTGTTTTACAAGTGTTACTGCTCATTCCAGATATCCCTATATTTTGGTCCAGTCCTGTATATTTTCTCGGTTATAAACTCACGTTTAAGCCAGATCTCATTTACGACTTAGCTCTGATGTATAAAACACACTTTTGTAGCTTGATGCTCCGAGTTATAACTCATATCTCCTGTACAAGCGATAGTTGCGAGTTCGAAACGCAGAATTGGCCTTCCAGAGGGTAAAAACGAATTCGCTGTTGCCAAATCAGACCGCTTCATGCAAGTCAAATCAAACAGAGTTTGCATATCCCATTAAAACTCGGAATTGTAATGGTGGTAGTTCAAGTCTAATTTAGAGGTCTAAAATGGACGGCACAGTATCTCCAATGGGCAATAACAATAATTATATCTCACTTTTTACTTCGACTTGGTCCTATACTAATTTATACTATACTTTTCAGAGAACGATAAATGTCTACCTGGAGTGTTAGAGCAACACATAAATTTTAATGGGATAGTACTATTACTAATACGTGAAGTAGACTCTAATTCAGAGAAATTCATCATGGTTTTTTTATGTTCCATGCGTTCATGTAGAGTACTTTTTTGTGGCCCACAAATCGCTTTCCCGATCTTCAGATCGAGCACTGTTCACAATGCCCCAAAAAATTATGGATAGGTTATGGCATAATCGGAATGGCAAATCAATTGGCGATTCATATCGTCCGCTTCAGTTTCGAAATCGCACAGAAAATCTCAAACAGTAAGTCTGCTGGTTCTCTGAGGACTGTTGTGCTTCA